AGGTATTTATAATAATACATAGTCAATTAAGATATCCATACGCTTATATAAAAATTAATATGGTGAACCGAAGGTCAACGGATTTGCGAGAAACATCACTACCACTCGCATTTATATAGCGACGGGAAGATCTGCACGATTATCATTATAATTAATATTTAATACCACCATCTATGTGAACACCGAATTATCAGTTTTTCCTTATATCATCGTAATAAATCCAATTTTTGACTTAGAGCTATGAAAGTGGTATGAGTACATTCCTATGCACTTCTACTATTGTCCCATAGTGTTTATGAACCGTACAAGTCCAAATTACGGCCACGGGGGAGGTAAGTTTGCTATTTACCGCTGGGATGCATTGTAATATTGTAATAAAACGGATATGCCCCAGTTCAAAAATTCGTATAAAATCAAGCAGATTGTTAGAAAAAAGCAATTGCCTAAAAGACTACACGCGAGTGATCCTGGGTTAAAAATTCAGAAATACATGAAATTAAATCATTTTGTATGGACTTGGACATACCTGAAAATATGTTTTTTATATTATTATAATGAGAACACCTAATAATATGCATATCAAACAACTCTCTAAAATTCCCTTTATTTATGAATCACTGCTTTCATCATGACTTCTAAATGCCAACTCTTGTTTTCCCAAAAATAAAACCAAATCAATTAAGTGCTCCATAAATAAACGATTCAATCTCACATTTTCATTATAATTTTTTTTAAACAAATTACCATGTTCATTAACAACATCTAGTATAGTAAAGCAATTTTTTTCTAGGTTTTTTAACCCTAAATGATTATGAATATGTTCTTTTGATGATTGATGCATTTGTATACCCCTAGATAAATTTTTTAAATCATAATACCCAACAGTGTTCCACACAGAACTCATTTTACCCAACAACAAACATGGCCAACAAAACACTTTGTATATAATGACTCCCACATAACCAAGAGTGTTTTTGATATAAATTTGGATTAAATGGCCAACAGAATACCTTACATAGTTTCTTGTCAGGAGCCAAAGCTGACAAAATCGGAATAGACTTGCCAACTTTTAGTAAATCACTTTTATTATCAGAATTCTAACGTCGAAACGGCGTCTCCAACAACATAACTACCACGTCTGTCACTGGATACATAACTCCAAAAGTAATTAATGTAATAATGTTTATTAAAAAAAAACTGCAACACTCGTACATAAATTTAAATGAAGACGTCAATACAAATCAACGTAAAAGTGTAAAACACAAGCGACAATTTGAACAGACGACAAGCTAAATAAGAATGACTAATGATAAATATAAAATTATTATCAATAGATATGACAACGGTTTAATTAAAAACCTTGTCAAACAGAGCGCGTTATTCACGTCGCGTTATTAACGCTACCGCTGACGTTACATACGTCAGACAGAAACCAAAGCGTCGCGTTAAAATAGGTAGKTTGATAGGTTGATAGTAGTTGATATTATAATTTATAGCAGTGTTGTTAGTACGTTTGCAAGGTATAGACGGTATAGTTTACATTAAAAATATGTTCAGTAGTTCAGACGAAGAAGWACTTTTACTTTYATATGCAATAGCTGGAAGTCAACAAAAGAGGAAGCGAATTTCTCCATTAGCTTCAAATTATGATGATTCGTGGAGATAACTGACAACAATCCAAAAATATTAAAAGGAAAAAAATATGCAATTGCATAGAAATCCGAGCTCTAATCATAAGTATACCCTTTAGAACAGTTTTCTGATGATGACATTACGTTTTTAAATRCATTTGATTTTGGTTGAAGAAAATCAYAGTCGRTTGAATAATTGCTGATTGAAGAATGCATGGAAAGTGAACTTGAAGGGCCGCGTTCATCTAGTTCTTTTAATTCCATGTCACCGAATAATTTAGCAAGTTCTAGTTTAATCTGTATTTGATTTCTCTCTGAAAACTTTTTGAAGGTTCCTGCATAACTGAGAAATAAGTGGTCGACACTATCATGTGTAGGTTTCTTTTTATTCTCCAGATAACTAATGACTTTGTTTACACCAACATGCTGATCGTTAGRTTCTTTACTATTTGTTTTGATTTTCTTCGGTGCTRGTAATGTAGAATCAGTACGCGAGTGTAATTCTGGATCATCCGATTCTTCGACATCTAAAAATGATGTTGATGCCTGTGGAGAAGTTATCTGTGAAGGAGATGTTAATTCTTGTGTCTGTAYCTCTAATGGAATGTCAGTTGCAATATTGGATGTCGTTTGTCTTGGAGCTAAAGTTTTGTCTAAAAATTGTAACTGACTTGCCCACGGCCAATTTTGATACTTTTTAGAGGCTTGTCCTGTTGTACCTTTTATGTCTTTTTTGTATCGTAAATAGTTGTCTCTTAGGCTTTTCCATTTTTTTTTTATAATTTCGTCTGGTAATAAAACAATATAATTTTTATTTATTTAAGATTCTGAATGTAAAGATGAATATATTGATTCTACGATAATGAATAGTAAAAATTTGAAAATTTAAAAATTCACGCGTAAAATAATGATTTAATATAAAACGGTGTTAGATATAAAGTAATTTTTTTAGGTACTTGGCCTCAGGTGACTCCTATCAGACTATAGGATTTTCATTTCGTGTCGGACGTACAACTGTAGGCATAATAGTGAAGGAAGTCT